CAGACCGTCCTGCTGACCAAGGATGTTTGGATTTGGTTTACGAAGGACAGCTTGCGAGACACCCTCGTCCAAGCTGCTGCAGCCGTTGGTAAGAAGGCCTTTGCGTTGCATGGCACGGTGGCAGCCTGTGCTCTGCTGGCATTGTTGCATGTGGGCAAACTTGTGCGCTCGGAGAAGACAGTTGGGGGTGGAAGGCCTGTCTGGTACTTTCGCAAGCGCCCCGTCCAGAGTCAGACAGCCGATGGCAAGGCGCTGCAACCTCTCCTGCAGTTCCTCGGCATCAGTCACACCACAACACCTTCGTTTGAAGCCTATTGCCAAGGGACGCTGGCAGAGACCGCCGTGCCTCCTCGAGCACCTTCCGTTGGTGCCTGGATCCCTGTGCAGGCAGAGACGTGGAAGGAGTCTTTGGAGACGTTGGGCTACGACATCACACACCCTCCGCAGCCTGCTGCTGGTGCTCCTGCTGGACCTGCCCACCCACCCGTTGAGCATGGTGGCTTTGGCAATTAGCAGCTTTTGCACGCTAGCCGGTGAGGTCGCGTCCTCGCCCGAGTCTTTTTTTCGGAGACAGACAAAACATGGAGCACTGACTTCCGTTCACGGGGCTGGCTTTTTCTCGTGGCCTGGCAGGCAGCCGTTTTTGTGTTGAAAGCCTGCAGTTCGTGGATTCCATTGGTTTTTGCTTTTTCTCGTCGACACCTGTCGAGCACACATCGTAGCCGAACATATGCAGCCGTTTTGCCGCTTCGAGTCTGTGCTTCGTTGCCCGCATGTCGCTTCCGTTGCCACCGGTCGCGTCCTTCCTGGCACTGCTCGCGCCGTTGCAGCCGGAGCACCTGGGCATGCTGACTTTGGCATACAACGTGGCCGACGCACCCGGTCGCGCAGCTTTGGCGCAGCAACTCTTGCGAACCAATTTTGGATACAATGCAACCTTGGAGCAGATCAACCTCATCTACGACCGCCTGCTGCAGCAATGCCCAGCGTCCATCGCGGTCACACAAGCGCCGGCCAGTGGCCTCGCTTTGCGCCCCGACTCCCACGAGGCTTTGCAGACCTTACCCTACGTGCCTGCCTGGCAGAAAGGGGTCTGTGCACTGGATGGCGGCGTGCTTTTTCGATGGCAATGCATTCCAACGAAGTGCTTTACATTCACTCTCGGCTTGCAGGCTGGACACCTGCTGTGTCTGCGATGCAGTCGGTGCAAGGCAGTCTATGCAGGTCCCTGGTACTGGCCGGAGGTGCGAGATGAAAAGCTCTTTCCCCGCGGCCATCATCATCTTCGCATCCATGCCGCAACATTCACCGGCCTCGACACAGAGCGATGGTTCTTCGTGACACCTCAAGTCTGCTGGGACAGACATCTGCTGCATTGGTGTTTGCTACTAGCAGCTCGCGGTGGCATCACTTGGACGGCGCTCTATGTCATCTACTCCACCCTGTGGGGCCACACTTTGCAGGGCTCTCAATACGCCACCAGACAGCACTTCGTGGCAGCGGTGGAATTGGCGGCGTGGGCCTCAGTGCCCGCCTTCCTTTGCGCAGTCTTCAATTTGTTTTGCGCATGCTACTCCTGTTCATGGTTTGCTTTCTGACACACTCAGGTCATTCTTTTCGGCGCCTTGCGCCTCCTCGCAGCTTCCACTGACATGAACTTCCTGCATCTGGACTTCTTTCTACGGCCGCACCACCTGGCAGCGGACCTGCAACCTGTGCTGGAGAGCGTGCGCTCTGCGTGGCAGAGCGTGGCGAAAAAGCATTGCTGCCCCTTGTGCAAGACCGTGCCAGCAGTGGTTGTGGATGGGAAGTGGAATATGCAGTGCCTCATTTGCAACGACAGGGGCTCTGCATACAAATGGAATCGTGGCTTGCACGCCGGGATTTTGACTGGATGCACGGCGCGCCCTTTGCGGGGTTCCAAATATTGCGCCGCGCACCAGCCGCCAGCAGGCCCTGTGGAGCAGGTCACAATCACTGCTCACCGGGAAATCTGTGAGGGTGAGGCCATCCTCCTGGAGTATGAGGTGGGCAACCGTGTGTGGCAGAGAGCCGCAGCCGTGCCCATGGGTGCTATTCGCACATATGAAATGGACCTTTTGCCACTCAGGGAGCCGCTGCTGAAACAGCCCGATGCGTGCGGCGCAGACCCGCGGCGAGGCAGTCCCGAAGCCAGCATCGGGCGCAAGTCGGCTGGCATTCTCGCTGCTGTCTCGCCGTGCATGCGCGTGGTCGCCATTCAGCCCATGTACGCGACAGAGTCGCAGGGACAGGTGGTTTCATTTCTGGATGACATCTTGCAAATGTTGCCTCGCACTGCTTGGGTCATCTACGATTTTGCTTGTGGCATCCGCCGGCACATCCGCACACAGCTTTCTTTGAGGCGGTCCAAACCCGAGGCTTCAAGATGGCAAGCATTGGATGCTTTGACGTGGGTGGTGGATAAGATGCACTTCAAGACCCACAAAGGCTGCAGGAATCCACAGTCACCTTGGTACGAGCCTTCCGTCAATCCGTACGTGCCCCGGTAGTGATAGCTTCGATGCGTTGGCTCCAAGCCCTACTGCTACAGCATATAGTAGGTGCTGAGTCACTGTCATGTAGGAACCTTACCAAGTGTTGCTGCTGCACCCTAGAGGTCCTACTTCCATGTCCGCATGCAGGTCCTACACCCTCTAAGTCCTTACCTGCCTGAGGCGCACGATGCTTTGCGTGGAGTCGACACAGAAGCTGCAGAGCAGATTTTTCACATTGCGGCGCGCTGGCAAGCCTCTTTGGCCACAGCGCACCCGGTGCATCAAGAGCTGCAACTTCTGATTTATAGCCACGAGCACAATGAGAGGCAGTGCCCCGATGTGCCTTGGGAGAGGTACCAAATAGCACAGGCCTCTGGCGCGTCGCTGGACCCAGGTGCCCACGTTGACGCTTGTGCGGCATCCGCCTCCACGGCATGTACCCCACCAGCACGCCCCGCCCAGAAGCGAGCAAAGCCCCATCAAACATGCCAAGCCCCACCACCAGACCGTGCTCCAGTTGATGTGGGACAAGCAGATCCCCCAATCCACCTGCCACCGAGGCGCGTGAGCAGAGACTTCCTGGCCGGTGCCTTGGTGCTTGTCAACCCAGACACCAACACCGTGCATCGTGTGGATGCCGCTGTGCAAGACTCGGTCCGCACAGGGTGTCATTGGATTCCGGCACCTGGGGCCCGCAGACTAGCCGTGCCTGCAGCTCAGCTGTCTGGTTCCAATTTATATAGCTGCGGTACGTGCTTCGGTCGGCGCCACGCTTTGGACCTCTAGTTGCTCGTGGGTGCTTCCCCACTTTTTGGCCGACGCGCAGAAAAAGGTTTGCGCCGCTTCTGCGTCTCAAGTCGTGCTATGTCTTCGACTCCATGTCCAGACGGCACTGTACCTGCCGCCTGCGTCCTGGTCCATTACGTCCACTTAGGTCCAGACCTTCTGCGCTCTCCGTTGCCCTTGCTGCCGAGGCCCCAGTGTTGCAGCTGCTACCTGCACTCTTTGGCCACATACACGTCTGTGTTGCACATGTATCCAGACATACATACATACCATACATACCTGTAATTTACTCGGTCTGTATGTTTCCCCGGACATACATACATACATACATACCTACATACATACATACAGGGTATGTATGTTTCCCCGGACATACATACATGATGGGTATGTACGACTCTGCTATGTCTCCGACAAACATACATACCCCTGCTTTTGAGGTATGTACGTTTGGACCATGCATACACACAGACATACCGCTTCTTTTCTAGGTATGTCTCTCTCCCCCAACCGACATACATACCATACATACCTCTAATTTTCTAGGTATGTATGTTTCCCCGGACATACATACAGACTAGGTAGGTCTGACTCTTCTATGTCTCCCAGAAACATACATACCCGTGCTTTTGAGGTACGTCCGTTTGGACCATGCATACATACATACATACATACATACATATACCCCTTCTTGTCTACGTATGTATGTTTCCCCGGACATGCGTACATGCCGGACATTCCCCTATACTTTTCTAGGTCTCTATGTTTCCCGAGACATACATACATACCTCTCCTTTTCCAGGTATGTATGTTTCCCCGGACATACATACATACCTACGATTTTCTGGGTATGTATGTTTCCCCAGACATACATACATACCTATCATTTTCCAGGTATGTATGTTTCCCCAGACATACCTACCAGGTATGTATGTTTCCCCGGACATACATACATACCTACGATTTTCTGGGTATGTATGTTTCCCCAGACATACATACATACCTATCATTTTCTAGGTATGTATGTTTCCCCGCACACACATATATATCTTTATCATACATACATACCTATAGTTTCTAGGTATTCTTACTCCTAGGTATCAATGTTGCCCCAGACATACATACATACCTATACATTTCTCGGTCTGTATGTTTCCCCAGAGATACATACATACCTATACTTTCTAGGTATGTATGTTTCCCCAGACATACATACATACCGATACATTTCTAGCCATGTATGTTTCCCCAGAGATACATACATACCTATAGTTTCTAGGTATGTATGTTTCCCCAGAGACACAGACATACCTTTGACATACATACATACCTGCAGTTTCTACGTATGTATGTTTCCCCAGACATACATACATACGTATCATTTTCGAGGTATGTATGTTTCCCCAGACATACATACATACCTTTCACATACATACGTACCTCTCCTTTTCTAGGTATGTATGTTCCCCAGAAACATACATACCCCTGATTTCGAGGTATGTACCTTTCGACCATACATACATACATACATACCTAGATGGGGGGGGGGAGGCAGGGGTTGCCTGCTAGATACTTACTAACCTCCGCAAACGAGGTATGTATGTTACCCCCCTGGGGTTCTTACTCATCGCCTTAGATGGGAGGTCTCCAAAGGGGTCCCAAGGCATTTCTCCTTCTCTCCTTCTCACCAGCGCTGAGGACTTGGATGAAGAGGCCGGCTTCGCTCGCTCGGGCTGGTTGGTTCGCTTGTAGCAGACCCATTCTCGCTTGAAGGACGCCAAGAATATCCGCAAAAGCGGTTTTTGATCACCCAAAGGCCCAGGGGTTGGAAAACCAACTCCAGACAATCTTAGCAACATCTGGAGATGGAAGAGCTCCCCCCTGGCTGGCCACTTTGAAGGTGATGCACTTTAAGATCAGGCGAAGGTAGATGCCTCACCACATGCGAAGCAAATGTGTATAGACATCACTCAATTATACTCAAATATATAAGATGATATAACAAGTGATAATAAAATGTATCTAATTCATCAAACCTCACCTGGACCTGTTGACTCTTTGTCCCAGTATCCAACTCGATTTGCTCCATATAATATGTGCCTCCAAGGATGTGCAGCCATCCACTTGTAGGCACCTCATGTCTGGTGATTTTGGGGTGAGCTTCGAAGAATGTCCCCTCACGGAGTCACCGTGACCCTCGGGCGAGCCCATCCATCGGTTGCGGGAAACAAAACAACTAACCAGTTTATACAGGCTGCCACTCCAGAATTGGCACTTTCCAACCCTGAGGTCCTATGCGCACTGACCGTGAGCACTGACCGTGAGCACCAGTGGATGGGATAGGTCGCAGATCCCTCCCAGGTGCCCAGGCCGTCCTCGCGCGTGACCCGCGCCGTGCGGCCAGGCACGAGCCCTACCTGCTCCTCGAGTCGACGGCGCCGGACCCCTGCCGCGGCCGCAGCAGCACCTCGAAGAGGCCGGACGCTGATTTTTCATATATGTTGGTTTTCTTGCTCTTCTCTCCTTTTAGGACTCCAAAGAGGCCAGACTGCCCAATATCGCCCTGAGTCTCTCACTTTTTTGGTCGGCGGGGTGTTGTGGAGAGGACGGAAGGCTGGGGCGGTGTTCTGTTTAGGGTCAGGGATGATCGAGCTCCAGACCTATTAGAGAGACACCCAGCGGACGAAGGATGATGGGAACAATGAGTGATGAGTCGTTTGAAGGCACGGACACCTCTGGACACTGAAAAGAGTGACGCTTTTCGAGATTACCTCTCGAGGCGAATTGCTTGGATCTACTAGGTGCATGCTGAGGCTCTCCGAACTCCAGGTCCTGATCTGTTTGGTGAAAGTAGGACAGAAGCAGGACAGAAATGCCTGAGTTTGGAAGCTTGACTGTTCCCGACCTAATTATGGGCCTGAGTTGGAATATCCGGGGCAATTTCACTTTCCTGAGACCAAAGAAGGCCTGCCTGCTTTTTCACCCGTCCACATCCCTACTAGGCTCATTAGGAGCCGATCACGAGATCCCCGCAAGACGACCTTCTCAAACTGTAGTCAGGCCTTATTTATATTAATATACCATGGGCTGTGGGTCAACAGGTTTAGAGCACAGATGCTTTAGACAACCATGACCCGGCCTTTAGACCACAGATCTTTATACCATGACGCTTCAGACGGCGCCGTCTCCGGTGCGTCTCAGGCGTTTGATCTACTATGAACAGGCGAGGTCTCCGGTGCTGGTTGACGGAACGGTTGACAGTGGACGGATTAAGAAATAACACAGCAATTATGTTGGCAATTATGCAGCAATTATAGCGTCAAAAAGAATGGACGTGGAACATTTTGTTGTGGGTAGAGGACCAATAATTGTCAACAAGTCTTCGACGATGCGATGATCACTTCCGTGGTTCGAGGGTTCGAGTGGTTGGTTGGTTTTGTATTGTTTATGCCGTCAAATCCTTCAGCCAGCGAACGATGTGCTTCGGCCAGCGAACCGTCGTGCTCGCTCTGGCAACTCACCGGGGCACATCAGCGGAATCAGATTTGATTCCGGTGCTTCATAGCTGGGCTCCGTTCGGCAGGACGTGGTGGCTCCAGTCCCCACAGGCTTTGAGTGGACAGAGGCCTCCGAGCAGGTGGAGGCCTGCAGGGGCTAGGTCGGAAGGAGCAAAACAATCCAGGGACTTCAGGACTTCGACTTGGAAACCAGGATGGACACAGGAATTTGGACTCACTTGGGGCGAAACCTCCTCAAGCACCCCTAAGATTCTGGACAGTCAGGAAACACCAGTGGGGAGGGGTCACCACCTCAGAGAGCGAAAGACCTTCCACGTGCCCGGTCGGTCTTTTGATTTGGACCCATGTGCGGGTCGGTGGGTGTGAATTTAGACTGCGAAAGCGAGACTTCCAACCAAATGGGTAGAGACTGGTTTTGTAGACTGGTGGTCCCAGGAAAGAGATCAAAGAAGTGTATGACCACTGCGTACTACTGCCACTTCCCCAAGAAGGGTGGTGACTGTTTTTTCAAGGAACATTGTAGTGGGGTCCTGTGTTACTGCGTTTGAACTCAGTTGACCCAGTTCGCGGGAGCCATGAGTGGGTGTTCCGGATTCTTTATTTTTTTTCTCCTCCCTCTGCGGACGATCAGCATGTCACCGACAGGATCGGCACTTGCTTCTCTTTTATGCGGCCTCGCCGAGCCTTGGTGGCGGCTCCGAGCCGTGTTTCCTCGACTCGTCAGGGTCGTTATATAAGGGTCTTGTTGATGAAAATCCGACCCTCCTGGAATGTAAAGCCAGTTCTGGAAGCGGTGTTGTCGCATGGTTTTATATCGTTTTAAACAACAGCCTACATGAAAGATCATGAAAGTACGGATTTGGGACTCGAGGGTCGGGTGAGAACTCTTCAGAAGACTCTTCTGTCTTAGTTGTTGTGTTGGACCATGGGTTGAATATATACATACCTATTTATATGCATATATAATATATATACACATGACCAATATTTTAGTTGATAGCTGGGCAAGAGCTGATGGAGTTTCAGATGTCACGAAAGCTATCCATAATTTGTCAAGGTCGTTTATGGACATACAGGCTCAACCACCCCATGTTCCTCATAGATTCCCCACATTGCTTGACTCTTTCTGAGCCACATGAACCAAGTTGGCATGGGCAGGCAAGGACACACATGCGATGTCATTGGCAGTCACAAGCAACATCATGCACGCTGAACAAAATAATCAAGTGACTCATGTGACCAACTAGGGTTGAAACTGCTTCAAACTGCAACTTCACTAGCAGTAAGAACCCACTTCACCAGTTCTAGTATCCTTTAATAACATTTAGTAACCAGTCTGAACTGGTGAAGTGGTGCTTTCGTGGCCCTAAGCTGTCACAGCTTGGTGCCGTGACCCCGGCGAGGAACTCCTGCATCCGCCGCCACATCAGCCGAGAGCTGGCAGAGTCTGCAGATGCTGAGGCACCTCATGGGTCATGCGAAGTTGTGTGAGTGGACCTGCAGTGGTGAAGTCGTGTTTCTTTCCTTTGGCCCCTTGGGCCACGTGGTGTTAAGATCGCGCAAACCGTCACAAACCATTAAAGGGCCATGCAATGGGCCGGAGCAATGCCAAACAAGCTGCACGAAATTCGAGATGCTTTACCGTCCTTGCAGCCACAGGACCAATCTGTAGCTCTTGCAACTCGTGCTATTATGTAACCAAGATCCAGGGGCTTAGGGGATAGAATGTTTGTGGCAAAGTATGGGAAAAAACAGATTCAAGAAAAGAAAGGCAGGTGGATGCAGGTGGGAAAAACGGTCCTGTAGCACTCGGGTTCGATGGGCTGAGCATACCGTCTTGGGTTGTACCGTGGCCTTGAAAGGAACGGTGGTCGCATCCATGCCAGAAACACGACCCTTTTCTTTCTCACTTGTGCATACGTTTTGGAAAGCTTGACTGCAAACCCGATTAGAATCCCACCTGAGCAGCGGGTTTTTCTCGATGGACGAGACAAATCGACTGGCGCGGGGAGTGTGGGTTGTCCTGATATTGATGTTTTTTCCTTGTTGGAGTATTTCTTGTTGTCCAGCTTGCATCAGCATACTTCAAGTGCATATGGCAGTCCTTGGGCGTTTGAGAAGCCGTGAAGCTGATGGCCAGACCCCACTTCAATCCAGGGCCTTGTGGTTTGTCGGGGAAACATGTGGCCAAGGGGGATCACGTCGTGTGCATAGAAAGAAGCGACTTTGCCCCTCAACCTCCAGTGTTTGAGCAAGGGCAGTGGTTTCGACCAGAGACTGGAGAGAATGGTTTTGCCCAGGGCCCAGGGGGTTGCACACATTTGAATGTGAATTCCACGAATGCTACCTCTCCCCGTCGGGCGATTGAAGGGAACATCAATCAGCTGGTGCCCGGTGATGATGCCAGACGCTGCTGCAGTTTGCTGCAGGTACTGGTGATTCCAAAGCCAATCCCAAAGAAACCTTGGAGCGACTTCCTTTACCGCTCGAAGTTTTGCTGCTCGACCTACCTGCGGGAAGTGGGCTCAGACACCATTTGCACCAAGGACTCCTCCATCGCCAAGAAATTAATGATTGAGACCATTTGTTCCTGAACAGTTTCCAATACCGGATGTTTGTTCTGATTCATTCCTTTGCAAGCAGCTGGCTGACTCATCTTGGCATAGCCTAGCGGCCTAGCGGCTAGAGCGTTTTTTCGGATCATGCCGAGCCCAAGTCAAAAGTACTTTTGGGCTTTTTTGTATATGCATCCTTCCCATCCTCAGCTAACAACGATGTAGAGAGCCTTTAGTGGAATTAGATATATATATATATCCACTAAAACCATGCCTTTGAACTGTAAAGGGAACGAAGACTCCCTTGGATTCTTAAAGGGGCTCAAAGGAAGGGAAAAGGGATTCCTTCGTTCTGGTGGTGGTGGTGGACCCTTGGAAGATGCTAAACATCGTAGCCGGGGCAAGGGCTCCAAAGCCTTGCACTATCCCATCCCCCCCCGAAACAATTGAACACAATTCAATCCCAGGGTGCTTGTGGAATACCCTCCATGAAAAAATTGTTTGCAGCAATGATTGGGATAAGGTTGAAAAAGGGGTTTTGACAAAGGCTTTCAGGAAACACATCCACAAAACACTTGGGAGAGTCAGCTTTGATTATCCCAACCCCAAAAACAATCTAAGGGTTGGACATAGTTTTGCATATCCGTAAGTACCTCCCTACCGCACAGCTGGATCCAATATTTGATACATTTGCGGCTGGTGCCCGGAGGGTTTTCCAATGAATTTCACGAAAGGTAGCCCTTTAGGGGATACCTTGAGTTTGTCTTGCGAAGCAAGTGTTGGGACGTCCGGGTCTAATAATTGATCGCCCAATTCAGACCCCCCCCCCCCCCCCCCCCCCCCATTTATTTTTTAAAAACCCCCCCCCCCCCAAAAAAAAATGGTAAAAGGGGGGTTCTGGGGAGGATTTGTTGGTGTGTTGCTTGTTTGGATTTTTTGTTGATGTTCAATGTGTTTTCCTTGCTGTTGATGTTTTATGTGTGGGGGGTTCTGGGGAATTTTTCATCAAAACTTTCACCCCTACCTGTTTCATTTTTTGCTTCATGTTTCTTCCCTATGTTAGTCTCATTCATTTTCTCAATTTTGTTTTTTGTTGGTGTGTTGCTTGTTATGATTTTTTGTTGATGTTCAATGTGTTTTCCTTGCTGTTGATGTTTTATGTGTGGGGGGTTCTGGGGTTTTTGGGGTTCTAACTTTTCTGGGGCAGATGGTTTTAAGATGAGGTGGATGATTGTTGTTGCTATTGTATTTTATTTCTAGGTCTGGGTTTATGGGTTGTAACTATGCTGTGGTTATAGGTTGTAAAGTTTTATGGGTTGTAGCTATGATAGTTTTCCTTACAAATGGGTAAAGTTCAGTTCTCAAAAACTCAACATCAAATATGGTTGAATATGTTATTTTTTGTATCCATAACCTTTTATCTTAAACATTATTCTTCAAATATCCAACATTTGGTCTTTGATAAGCAATTTGTAAACTTTAGGTATCCATAAGGTTTCACACCATTCTTTGCGCTTCTTATAAATGTTTTTACACATTGGGAATTCCTCTTGATTGCGCAGAAAGCAAAGTCAGATTATCAGATGGAGGGTCTGGGCTCGGTGATTTTTGTCAAGACTTCCAACCCTCCTCTTTGGTTTATTCCAAGAGGTGGGCATTTGTTGTTCCTTTTTGACTTTGGCGTTTTTTGCACCTTCAGAACACTGGAGCGGATTAAGCGAAACAATCACAGTGCATTTGGCCAAATTGCTTTGGCCTCTGTTTGTCGACCTCGACGCCGTCTTCATTCAATTTTTGCAGGATGCCCCAGCTGGGTGTGGGTGTGCATAAGGCATACAGTCATTCAAATTCAAAACATGAGCTTCGGAAGGTCCCTTGCAGAGGTTAAAGGCGCGTGGTATTGTTCAAAAACAGTTCAAAAAACATCAAAAAACATCAAAACTTGAAAAAACAATGGTTTCGCGCGCTTCCCTCAAATCAGCAGATTTCTAATTCACTTTTTGGAGCTTCGTCATTGATGGGTGGTGCGCAGAGCCTCTCACAAAAGCCTCTCACACGGACGGCAGAGAACAAGTGGTGCAACAAGATATACGAAGACTTGCTGCAGGAGAACGAGTCTGACCGCATCAAATTTCTCGGCTCTGTTGCAGACCATTTCTATGACTTTGACACGGAAGTGGTCGTCAGCTTTCCAGGAGTACATGGCAAGGCGTGGAATTTCTTGACAGAAAAAGTGAGCCAGGCTTCCAGCAACCTGCGGACAAGTTGCATTTTTCTTCCTGATGAGGATGCAAAGGGGTTCGGTGAGCATGCTGCGACTGGAGCTGGAGGCTTTGTCTGCCACTGTAAGCATCTCTATGGGAAGAAACAGGCCTGGGGGTGCGCATGGTACAAACTATGGATTCGGAAAACGCTTCAGGCTCGTAACTGCAATCTCATTGTAGTGACCAAGCAGGATGGCACCCTCGGAAGGTCACAAAATGGGGAGGTCAAGTTCTTGGAGCAGGTTGGCTTGCTTTACACCAAAATGACAATCAAGGAGTTCGTGATATATTATGCTGAGCATGCGCCAGAAATTGAAAAACGGGAGGTTTCCGCCAGTTTGCGTGACCGCATGGAAAAATGCCTTGCGGCGAGACGAAGCAACTTTGACAAGGTACTCATGTTGAGCAGGGTCAACCCCATCCAGTATTATAGCCATGAGGATTATGCGATAGGCCTGTCTGACAGGTTTCGTAAGAGCTAGGCGATTTTCCTCCAAAGGAGTGCTAGGCGATTTTCCACCTCTCGCCTCAATGGCTCGATGAGAAAAAGAGCGATACCCAATTGCGTCAATTGCATGGCTGGTGTTGGTGGCATTTGCTTTCTTCCATTGACGTTTGTCAGAGCTTTGCACCAGTATGGTTGTTGAGAGAACTCCGACTGTCATAGTTGATACTCTCACCACTTGATTTGACCTGTAGGCATTTCTGCCTCAAGACTGTATAGAGTGTTTCAATCTCCGTTTTGTCAGTCTTGCCTTTTCACAATGCCTGTCCGTGGATTTCTCAAAGGTCATCTCAAGAATGAGGCGGGTGTCAAAGCGCTCATCAAGCGGTCGGTGTCCAACATCAAACCCAAGCTTGACCACTACGAGTTGGTGAATGACCCTCCTGCTACAATCCGTCCAATCGTTCAACCAATCACGGAAAAGATGAATGCTTGGAAGGCTCGTGTCAGTGGAGGTGATGAAAGTGTCATCAACCAGTTCCTTGAGAGTTTGCCCGACGAAAAGCTTGCGGAGTTGAAGAAAATATTTGAGAAGAAAGGTCGTGGTCAAAACACCGAGGACAAAATCTTGGACAGTTCCTTTGTGGTGTTGAGTGAGTTGGATGAAATCAACTCCTTCATCAATGAACTCTTCAGGGTCAAGGCGGAAGTCATCAACACCTACACGGAAATCTATGCCAGAACCTACAACAACAGTGCCACTTCATCGGGTGAAGTCCAGTTCAACAACGAACCTTTCCTTGAGGCACTGAGGGATGTGATTTCATATAGGAAGAGGTTGAGACGAAATTCGCAAGAGGATGTTTCAAATGACAACCTCATTAACGGCGATGCCACTGAAGACGCCAATCGTTGCGTCCTGATGTAGGTGTTGGCTGTTGTAGTTTTGCCACAGAACCCCAGCAGGATTGGATACCCAGAACCAAGTATCAATGATACCCCGATACCAGTATCCAAGTATCAATGATACCCAGAACCAAGTATCAGTGATACCCTGATACCATTATCCAAGTATCACCGATACCCAGAACCAAGTATCAATGATACCCCAATACCAGTATCCAAGTATCACCGATACCCAGAACCAAGTATCAATGATACCCCGATACCAGTATCCAAGTATCACTGATACCCAGAACCAAGTATCAATGATACCCCAAACAGAGTATCAACAACAAGATGTTGGGGTTCGCATTGCACGACCCATTGACACAGCACAGAAGCCCTTGGCGTCATTAATTTGACACCATTTGGACTATATCCGTGTCGTTTCCTCAAGCCTTTGCTTGAAACGCCGTCCGTTCCGATGGCATTTAGCACTTTATAAGTCCATCCAACCGACAGTAAAGACGTGTGAATTCATCATCGCCAGCGATAAAAAGTATCCTAACTGGACACTGCTTCTTTCTTGATGTGTCATCGTCGGCACCTGTGCTTTGCCCACTTCAATTTCCTGCGCTTTGCCCACGCTGAGGTTAAGAAGACATCAGGGATAAGAACTTCTTGAAGGGGTGGAGAGACGGGAAACTTCAGAGTTTGACTTCTATATAAGCCAGAATTTGGAGGGAGTGGCTTAACCTAAGAAACTCCAGAGTTTGACACTTGAACAGTGGAACAAGTGGCTTATCCAAGCAACCTCTCAAAGCCTGACATTTGGCAAACACTTCCACTAAATTCACTAAATATATCGTAGATTGGATTGACCTATATACATCTATCTCTCTACCTATCTATTGTTCTATCGTCCGTCCTGCTTGGTCAGAAGGGAGGTCTTCATCCACTTCAGGGGGGTCGGGGGATGCGTCGGCGTTGGCGTTGCGTCGTTGCGATTGTTTGTTTTTGTTTCTTTTTTTTTACGACGAAGAAGGAGGAAGAAGAAAGGGGGGCTGACCGGATGGGGGAGAGGCGAAGAGCCCATTGGTGGAAACAGAACCCCCACCGGTCAGACCCCCCAGAGACGAGATGGTTTTTGTTTTTGTTTTAATTCGGTTTTTTGATTTTAACAGGTCATAACAGAAGGGGTGGTGGTGATGACGGGGAGCGCAGTGGCATTGACCCAAAAGCATACCCGTCAAATCATCATCATTCCTTCTGTGTAGGATAAGGTCTTAAATGACCACCCCCATATGAATATCTTATAGTAGATAACCGAGTTCCTTTGGGAGTGATGAC